CGTTGTTTTTTTTGCAAGAAAAAAAAAGCAATAGTTTACGAATAGAACCTTTTTTTTTATCAAAAACAATTTCACTGAGCAATTGGGCAGTTACCAATTATCAACAAAATTGTGTTTATTTGATCTCTTCTGGAAAATTTTTGTCATCTTTTTTTTTTTTTTTTTAACAGATCAATCTGTTTTGTTATACAGTTCAAAGATCAGTGTAACTAAAGGAAAGAAAAAAAAAAGACTTGATTTTTGGTGTTTCAGTAAAAAAAATAGAGCAAAATTTTCCTGACATTACATTTTACAATAACCATCAATTTTCTGTTCATTTATCTGTTCTCTGTTTAAGATTCAGTTTCAACAGTTTCTTCTTCTTTTTTTTTTCTTTTTGTTAAGTGACCGGAATCCTTTTACAGTTCAAAAAAAAAACCCGTCATACTTATCCGATGTTTTGTTTTTTTGTTGCCATCACTTTATCATTGAACAGTCATTTTTGCTGCCATATACTTTGTCATCGCTTTACCAAACCACTTTTTTTGTGTTCTGAAAATAAGAAAAAAGAGGAGAGAATAGAACTTTGTTTTTTTGAATTAAGTTGGGAAAAAAACAAATATTTGTATTTTAGAAGTTGTTCTTTTGAATACAAAAAAAAATGTAAAGAACTTAAGCTTTATTATTCTGTTTTTGAAGAAGTTTCTTTTTTTTTGCTTCTTCTTCTTCATCCACCTTCTGTCTGTGTGTCATACGTATTCTGCTGCATGGAAAGACTAATTTTTTTTTGGTGAAAAGTCTACGAGAAAAAAACAAAAAAAAAACTGGTAAGAAGAAAAAGCTAAGGGAAATTTTTTTTTTTTCTATTTGCTAAACATATATAAAACACCAATTATTTTTTTTTTTTTAGCTTTTCCAATACTAAACCATTGTGGAGAAAAAAAATTTGTTTGTTTTAACAACTGAATAATGTCAACAAATTTTATGCACTCATTTCTTTCTTTTAATGATGCCATATATTTTTATTTTATCGTTTTAATTAGCGTCGACGATTATAAAACTTAGTTCAGTCATCATTTTTGTTTTCCTCATAGCAGCACAACACCGGGGGGAAACTGCGGGGGGAAAACAGAGCAAAGGTTGAGGAGAAAGGGATTGGGGTGGTGGTGGTGGTGGTGGAGACGGAACGGAGACTGGGGTAGGAAAAAGGAGACAGAAAGAAGAAGAAAAGAAAAGAATGAATGAATAAACAATTAAGAAAAAGTTTATTTATATAACTTTTAAACATTTATATCCTTCCAACAATTTTTTTTCTTTTTTTTTTTGCATACGGTTAAAAGATACGAGCAAAAAAGGAAAAAAAACCCGGGGAATGACAAATATATTTAAAGTGAAAGCGAAAGTATTGCAAAATAAAGAAAAGAAAAAAAAAAAGAGGATGTCAAATTTTTTTTCTTTTTTGCAGAAAAAACATTTTTTTTTTTTTGTCTTTTTAAACTTTAACCAACTTCAAATGGTTTTTTTTTGTTGTTAGTTTGCGTGTCGTTTGAGTTGCAATTGGGAACAGAAGTCTGAATTGTTGATGGTTTTTCTTTTTTTTTT